TATATATATATACTGTATATATATATATATACTGTATATATGTATATATGTATATATATATATATATATATATACATGTATATATGTATATATATATATGAATTAGCAAAGTAACTATATTTGGAATGAAAAATGAAAGAAACACTGAATGTTTGCAGTGTTAAATGTAGATCTGCTGTGTGTGTGTGTGTGTGTGTGTGTGTGTGTGTGTGTCATGGCTCACATCTTCCACTGGACGTAGAACTGCAGTGAGCTTCCGTTGGCAGGTGGACTCCAGTGCACAATGTTTTTATAGTCCACGGAGTCAAACCTCACCTGGGTGGGTGGAGCGAGCGTCACTGGAACTGAGGAAGTAATTGATGACATGATGGTTTATGAGGAGATAGAAGCATCAACTGAGGTTATTAGACAGCAGCTCTTAAGTAAACAACAAAAAATGATTTATAAACAGGACGATAAAACATAAAAAATATGAAAATAGGATTTGGAATTACTATCATTAATAGGAGTAGTAGTAGTATAGGAGTAGTAGTAAAAATGGGGGGGGGGGGCATGACAGCCAGTACTCCAACTGTACAAACTAAAGAAGGTGCATCCATTCCAAATAGCTTCTATATGGGCTCTGAAATTATATTTAAAATGAAATGTTTGGTGGGACGGAAGAGATTTCCTGAGTCTTGTTGTGATTCTTGAAAGATTCGTATTAGAAAGATGTCGATCACCTTTTAGCAAAAACTATCTGTGGTCATGGTGGTTTGTCTTAAGGCTAGGGTTAGGGTTACAACTATAGTTAGATAAATCAAAGCTGATTAAATCAAGGAAGAATAAAAGGGTTGTGTCCACATTCAAATACTGCAGTTTCTATTGTACATTATAGTTTTTGGATCAGGGAACTTTCAAAGACAAGAAAAGGAGAATGAAAATAATTTTCCTTGCAAATGTTTTTCAAGAATTCAGTCATCTGTCTGGTCAGAAGCAGTACTTTGTTTCTCCCCACAAAGACTTTCACACTGCAGCCTCCTCAACGTGTGCCATTGTTCCTGACAACACAGCGGCTTGTTTTTCAAACTTGACACGTAAAATTGTACCTTGAAATCTCAGAGCTCATGACACACTCGAGTTACTCTCCTGAACCAGCCTTAATGTCAGTCAAAGTTCTATGTTTCTGTTTCTTTGTTCTTGTCTTGTTGGCGATTGATAATTACTGAAGTTTTTTCTAATTCTTACTGACGTCTTAGAGAGATTTAGAGTTAAAGAACTGTTTGTTGTACTAAACCCTCACAATATGTAACATCATTTGTGATTCCCTTACTTCAGTGTAAATCAAGTCCTGTTCTGTTGTTTCTCACATTGTTCTGTTGCCTTATTATATCTTATAAGAGTGTATTCGTGAGTTATGTTAGTAGTTGGTCTGTTATATTAAAGACCAATACATTGAAAGTTACACTCCTTGATTTCGTGATCTTTAAATATGTGAAGGTCCTCTCAGCTGAGCGCTTTTAAAGTGATTTTAAAAACATGAACAACTTCTGAGAAAGAAATCTGTGTGACGTTGAAATCAAATCAGTCAGACAAGAACAATCCATATGTCATAAAACATGTATCGGCGGTTACCTTGAGCTGTGACACAGACGCCCAGGTTCCCCAGCAGCACGGCTCTGAGCAGCAGATCAGTCATGGCGTTGAGGCAGTTTGAGGACGAAAGACGCACTGGACTGATGCTGCAGGCGACACGGCCGCCTTTAACATGCCATCAACTTCCTGTTTTTAAATTCAATTATGCATGGACTATATATGGCATTTCTGACACGACCACGTTCTGTCATTCCCCCTCTGAAAGCTGACCACCACCACCACTTACAATACAATTTGAACTATGTATCAGCAAAACTAGTAACAAAACAAGCCCACTTGAAATCCTGTTCAAATAAAATATGCATTTTTCTCTTCATGCATACATCTCATACATTTCTGTCATGTGCGAATGAGAAATCTTTGCCTAATTTGCCAGAATTTTTGGACACAAAAGACACAAAGCTGTACTGCTTTGCTGATATTACACCTCAGAGCTAAATATGCCTCCTCATACTTTGGATTTGACTGACATTTCTTCTCAAATTCACATTTTAAATAATGTAAAAGACGGCATGCATGTTCTCCAATAGTCCTTTTTCACAGCAAACATTTTGACTTCTTATAATACACACAAACAGTGAGCCAGCCTGCACAATACCCGGACCCTGAAAATAAAGCAGCTAAATGTAATTCAGCCATAATTTGTTTTATTATTTCATGAAACAGAGCCCATTAATACATTCTTCAAATGAAGCTCTGTGAGTTCTGTGAGGACGTATTTCTCGTAACAGTCGTGTTTGTTTGTTCTCTGAAGGTCAGAAGGAATGCCACACTGTTCTGCTTCAGGTTGACACAGTTACAAGTATTTGTTAGTTGAACGATAACCATCAACTGCCCAAACATTTGACTGGAAACCAACAGTTTACTGGAAATGTGTTGCGTAATGACGCTCAGTGACAACAGAGAGAGGGAGAGAAAGGAAGAGTGACATCTTATCTACTTTTTTCCCTCACACTTTATGGTTCCACTTCGTGTTAATTATTAACTATATTGTTAATGGGTTTATAAATATCTACGGAAGCGGATGTGATTATATAATCATTGTTCTGCAAAACCTTAAAATACATCATGACTGCAAATTCAAATTCAGATTTTCTCATTACAGTTGGACTGAACTTGATCAAGTGTACATTTGTTTTTAATCACATTTTTTAACTTTTAACAGATTTAGTTATATTCTTATCTGTCATGTTAATTCAGTGTAACTTTGTAGCACTTTTATACCATGTTAGTAAAACTTGTACATCCTGGTCCCACAGCATTAACGCAGTTTAGGTGACTTTTAATCACCCAAAGGATCCGCACCACACTGTGATTAATGATTCCCAGCCCGGGGCACATGTGTAGATATAGGGTACATACTAATCTTTAAAACATAGTAATTAGTATTGGAATAAGAAATGTTTCCACATATTGAGTGGACCTGTAATAACAGGGTGAACCAGCACTCAATGGTTCAACTCCCGGCCCAGGGGACCTTTGTTGCACATTATACACCTTTCTCTCACTGACTTTCAGAATAAAGGCAAAAATGCCAAAACATAGTCTCAACAAAAAATAGAGTGTGCGTGAAAACTTACCCAGTGAGCTGAGAACTCTAAACAGCTAAAAGTGGTCACATTGATAGCTGGAGTAATGGATACATGAATCTAAATGTTGGTTGTACACATGAACAGTGAAGCTGGAATACATAAAAGTAACAGCCAAACTGACCTAAACATTAAAGTTCAACTGTGAAAAAAACGTATTTTAACAGTATGAACCTTTGTAAAAGTATTATGTGAAATCACATCCAGGTTGAATTCAGTTCAGGTGAACACATGTTGAACATGAGGAGCGGTGTTGATGGTGTTGTACTTGATCTGACAGGGCTGTGGGAGTATATCGGACAAAGCTGGGGCGGCTGTGGCTTAGTGGTAGAGCCGGTCGTCCTTTAACCACAAGGTTGCCTATCCCCATCTCCTACTGTCCACATGTCAAAGTGTCCTTGAGCAACACACAAGTTGCTCCATGGGCGTTTCACAGCAGTTAAATATGGTTTAACTACTGTAGATTACCAGAAACCCTGCAAAACAAATCTGCAAACCAGATACCAAGAACGATTTGAGGATACACACCTAATAGTGAAGTCTGTTACTGGAAACAAAATAGGTCTCCCTACTCCCACACACACAGGCAGCAAAGAGGAAGGAAACATCCCGGACAGACATCTATGCAAACACACACAAAAGAGGTCTTCCTTGTCACTCAAATGACTGGTTTCAGAAGAAGGAACAACGTGGTTGCCCAAATGTCATGACACGCCATCGTGACATGTGTGCTTCTTCCTTTACATAGTAACGTGACAGCATCTGATGGAGTGATTTACATAGTGACAGTAGTAACTCAAGCTGCAATTCGGCTGATTCACTGAACTGAAATACCAACTTCCCTTCCTGAAGGGCATTTCACAGACAGGAATCTGGTGATGACAACATCAGATTGAAGACATAGATGTAAAACACCAGCTGTGGAAGAAGTATTCAGAGTAAAAGTATTAACGCCACACTGTAGAAGTCATCCAATTAAAACCTTATTTCCGTAAAAGTATTATCAGCTGGATTTACTTTAAAGCAAATGTATGTATTATGCAGCCTAATGGTTCCTGTCAGTGATTCACTATATGACACTGGATTCATATTGCTGCTGCATTAAAGTGAATGTTGCATTTGATTGCTGTACATGTTTACGGTGGGGATCATTTTAACTCCTTTGTATACTGTTGGGTAGTTTAATCTACAGCAATATATCATATTCTATAAGATCATCATGTTTGTAGCGTCATGGTCCTCCTAGAACCATCCATCTCTAAAAAGTCAACTTTTTATGAGCTTAGAAACATAGTTTTCAGGTTTGTGACAATACATTTATCAGCTGATCCAAGAGGGTTTTTAAATATGCTTTAAAAATAAAAACGACTTTATTTTGCTTTAGATGTAGGAGAACGTTCTCAACACATAAAGGAACACTTGATGCTTCAGTTTATCAGATACATTCAAAATCCCTCAATTTAGAGATACAAACAGAAAAGGGCTGCGAAATACCTTTATCTTATTTTTTACTGAAAATATGTAACGCTACAAAAATGACAGAAGACAAACAGTAGTTTGCAGACACAAAGGGAAACATTATGTGGACAGATGCAGAGAGATCATATAGATACTGAGAAGGGATAATAAACAGCTAGGTATCCAAATCCATCAACACATTCAAACATCACCACGCTCAGACAATCACTACGGATGGAAATTAAATCAGTCCTTTCCAATTTGAAATTGGTGGACCGAAAAATGTACAAATAAAAGAACCAATTCCCCTTTTCATTGTCAGTATCACTTAAAATGTGTCGTGGGTTTACTTCCTGCCAGACTCTGTATTCAGCAGTGAGTATAAACAGATCGACCCTTTAACTTAACATCTGTATGTTTTAAGTTACTGAAAACAAAAAAAAGTTACATACAAAACATGAAGTGACTCAAAAACTGACTATGAAGCACGGACACAAGGCACAACACAAAGTCTAACAGATTGTGTAATGTAAACATCACTTCACTGGTGCAAGATCGCAGCTCATGAGCAACGTATTTGCAGTCCTCAAACTGCTTCAATGGATTTAAAGGCTGAGTGACACGTAAAATACATTTTCCATCCCGTTGTCCCCCAGCGTGATTTTTATCCCCCCCCCCCCCCAACCTTCCGCAGAGCGATACCATACAGGAGGAAACGTGTTTGGCATTAAGTGATTGAAGAATTGATTCATTTCTCCCTCGTTCTCCTCCTCCTGATCTACCAGCAGGAAAAGGACGCGTAAATAGGAAGCTCTGTATTTGTTAAGCCACACTCACTGTCAACGACACCCAGACCAAATATTACATTTTACTAAGAAAAAGGTCACATTATAGAAGTTAAAGAACGTCCGGTTCACTGCAACTTTAAGGTGCTACCAGCCTAACGACAAAACAAAAGGATTCGACTCATGTAGAAAACGCACTAGTGCAAATAAGCAAAAATGAAATTCTCAGTATTCCACAGAGATTACAGTATTGTATAGTCATGCTTGTGTGCATGCATCACAGGCAAATAGATGATAATGCATGATTAACAGATGTTTATGAAACAGTATGTAAATGTTATCACTGGTTAGTATTTCAGTACGGCTTACAGGAGATGCAGGACAGTTAAGTCCCTTTGAGTCGTCGTGTGGGATTCTGTGAGTGATAAAGCTGACTTAATCAATCACGATAATATAAAAGCGATTTCTCGGCTACTAGCAGTGTTAGGGATGATCTGTTTGTCGCGGCAGCGGAATTGAGCACAGGCTGCAAAGGATGAAACACAATTATCAGAAATTAAAAACATAATAAATGGACAACATCACTATCTATCATTATGCTGCTAACATGCTGCTGACTGATCTGATTTGGCACTTATTTTACAACGTCAAGGACATCCGACTGATGCAACTGTAGTTGCGATTGCTTTTCAGGAACATATTTCACAAAGGCTGCTTTGTTGTGCTGCTTTGAAAGATTCCTGTAAATAGAAAGAAAAATGTAACTGATGTGAAGCTGCCCTCACAAGAGGGATGTCTCTTATTCTGCTTTAAGCTGGCATTGAGACAATTTGTCAAGGAAACGACACAAACCAAACCACCAGAGATTTATAATCAAGACTGCAAGTCGCTGTTCAGTCATATTTGACCTACTGTCAAACGTTCAATGAGCCACAATGTTCAGAGGTTCCACCTTCAGCCACGGTAACCCTCCGTCACTTCATCTGGTGCCAACGTATCAAACACCGGGCGTTTCTCGTAACCAGTGGGGACCTCACTGGGGTATAGCGCCTCATCTTCTTCCAGGTCGTTGCCTGCCATGTACCCAGGTTCCTTATTAGTCCCTACCCCCACGTCATCAGACACACCTTCATCCTCGGTTAACATCCCGAGCGGCAGACGGAGCTCGGGCTCAGTAGAGGGGGGAACACAAGTTGTAAGTTCTTCCTCCTCTGCTGAAAGTAGAGGTGTGGGTGAGGTAGGCCCCACTTCTGGCACAAAGAACGTCTCGTGAACCGCTTCCGAGATCACCTGGATCAGTTTAGTCGGGAACGTCTTTGAGACACAAAGAGGAATTGTTAGATATGGGTTGAAATTTTAAAACCTGTTCCTTCAGCAGGTTTAAATTCTCTTAGCATATTCAAACCGAATAATTTCCATTTAAATGATCAAATAAAACCAGAGTTGGGAGGATGAACATACCACAGACGTTGGTAAAGAAGTAGTCGGCGTGGTCTGTTTTTGGTACACCATGTAGAAGACAAAACCAAACACAAGTAAGGCTGCCAACACGCTGCCAGCGATGATGAGGGGGATGTGATCTAGATGAAACAGATGTAAAATGTTAACAGAAGGACTCTAAGCCACAAACACACACAGTCTAGCAAGAGAGACCAGTGGTAGCTCTGACTCACAGTGGTGTAATCAAGGGGGGCTTTGTTACTTTAGCAAGATAAAAGCATGAACAAGTGTGTTAAAGGACTGCGAGTTAAACCGACCAATGACGAGGCTATTATTAGCACATCAATTCTTCAGTTATGGCCTAAAACTTGTTTTGTGTCCACAAAAGTCTGATCAGTTCTTCCTCAAGTCCAGGTGGACGTTTGTGCCAAATTTCAAACCAGGCATTTCTCAGATATCGCACCAGACTGACATACAAACGGACGTGTGGTCCGTATGTACGTACGTACGTACGTACGACAGAGACAATCAGAGAAAACGATGCTTCCGCTGGAGGCATAAAATGTTACTCAACAGCTTGGTGTTTCTTCTGGTGGCAGGAGGCAGTACTCTTGTGTGGCTTGAACTGATATCTTCTCCAGCTCTCCGCTCATCTTCAGACAGTGCTTCGTCTGTGCAGCATCCACTGAAATATGCTCCTCACACACACTCGTCTCACAGGAAAACGCGTGCTCCGTCTGCACAAACAACAAACAGAGACCTTTTCAAGAAAACCACAGACCACAGAGTGATATAGAGAAGTCATTTGTACCTATGATTGTAAGCAGTTGTACAACTACCAATAAAAAAATTAAACTACGTCAACAGACGTATTTTGTGCTTCTTGCCCTGCTAAACCAACTATCATTGTTTGATCAGTAACCATTACATGAGGAAACGGACAGGTCTTCAGCTCATTTTCTCATGTCTCATCAATGTCATGCCAAACTTTAGAAGGTGTAGAAGATGTTTGTGCAGTCTCACCTGGTTGATGATCACAACATCGTAATAAAATACAGAGAGATGGCTTTTCTTCCTCCTTGTTTTTGTAGTTAGACTGCTTGGCAACTTTTGGAGGTACACCAGCGAGGGATGTGTGAAGCGGAACAGGACAGTGCCCTCGTGTTGGGAGGTGACGTTAACTGATGGGAAGTCCACATTACCTGGAAACAAGAAAATGGCTTAATCGTAATCTCAATTTAAAGTCAACAAGAAAAAAAAAAGAAGGAGAACATTTCCTTTTTTACAACCTTCGTGGTCATTCAAGTATACATTTCAGAGTTTACGTGGTGCACCTGAATGCACCATGAAGTCCCCGATGGTTCCTACACGCTTTACCGTATTCAACCGTGTTGAGGTTCTAACTGTGGCGGTACCAAGGAGTGCATCCATTCCTCCACCACCTTCTCCTTCACACATCAGTGTCAGTCTGTGTATGACATGCCAGGTGACAGCCAATCAGAAAGCCCGTTACATCCCATGTGGCTAATTTACAAGAGCGTTATCTTGTTTTACCATCACGAGGCCCAAAGCGTCACGGAATGGCTAAATGCAGAGGCTAAAAGGAGAAGCTAGGTGACCAATAGCAGGCCGGTCACGTAAAGCAGGGAAACGCACCTGAGAATGGGAAGGGAAGTTAGAAGCTGCATTTGTTTATTCAATTTGTGGATCCAGTTTTTTATTACCGTTTTTAAACTGCAATACCTTTTTAATTTCATTATTTTTTTATTAATTAATTAATGTATCTTTAAATGATGTACTTAACTGACTGTTTTATTTTTTGTATATCCTGTTTTAATCTGAATTACTTTTATAGCTCCTCTTTATTTTAAATGTCAAATAATTAATTACTTGGTAATTAAGTCAATGTATTCATAGATTCACAGATCACAAGTTGTTATTAATCCATAAAATGCTTTACTACTATGTCAGTAACTCGTCCCAGATGATGAATGACTTTAGTGATCAAATGATTTTTCCTCCAGCGACACCATGAGGTTAACATTTGTGGTTGTGAGTGACATGTCTCAGAAGCTATTGGATGGATTGCCTGAAATTTGGTACACAAATTCATGTTTAGTCTTGTTATTGACTCCAAATGTAACCGGTATTGTTGTCAGGAATTTTTACCATATTTTTCTACACCCGGCTAATTTCTGTTTTCAGGAGACGCATTAGTGTGTGAACTCACTAATTCAGGTTCATCGTTCTAAAAAGTTAAATATTCATGGTGAGCTCAGTGACACCAATACTCACATATCTTCGTTGCTGGAGAGTCCATGAAATAGCTGAAATCGATTCCTTCAGAAGGAGCAACATCTGACTCATTCTGTCCAATCACGGCAGTCACGTCAAGAAGGTAATCAGTTTTTGGATCAGAGAGAGAGGACACGTCTAATTGTAGTGGAGCTGGCGGCTTCACCCAAATCTCCTGAGGATAACTGGGGAAACAAAATAAAACAAGTGTGACATTGTCAAGAGAAAATAATGAGCAAATAACTGAAATAACTTACTATAATCATAACATAATGTCTTAAGAAGTTTTAAACACGTTTAAAATAGTTATCAGCCTGCTTTACATGCATGTAAACAGTCAATAAATGCTCAATAACACAATGTTAATTGTTGGTTGCTAAAAGTAAATATTTTTTACATGAACATAATCAAACTTGTGATAAGCTATACTGTAAGGATATCTTTCATTTAATTAAGGACAAGTGTGTAGAATTTAGTGATATCCGATAGCTACGGTGTTTGATTTGTCCTTTCTGGGCCACCGTAGCAACATGGTGGTGCAACAGGGCTCATTCAACAAGTCTTAGTTCTAACAGGCAAACTGACTTTTATTAGGTTATGTGCACAAAGGAAAACACACTAACCCTTTGTTGGCTTCTGTTGATCCAATACTGATTTTGAATCGTAGCCCTGGTGAGAGCTGCTTGTAACTCCACCTCAGAACGTTGTTCATATTGTGGCAGTCCAGGGTCACGTTGGTCGGCGGCTCCACTGTGGAAACAGGGACACGAAACGTCAGACTGCAGACATCACAAGGCATTCAGATTTCACACTGGACGTCTTCAAAACAACAAAACAAGACAAGGAAATTAATATCAAACATAATTGTTATGCCGTAGGTGGAGCTCCCTTGCTGAACTCTAAACTTTAAATGAGTGGAAACAGAGAATCCCCCTCTTTACAGAAACACTTTTATTAACATTAAAGTCCCTTACAGACTCTCAGCTTAACCCTGCTACTACCCTTCTTCTCCATTGGTCTGTCAAATTCAGTGAGGCTTTGTATTGCTTAAAACTTCCCACTAGAGGGCGCTGCATGCAAACTGCTACGATACAATCCTGGCAAACCTCTTTTATGGGTCTATGTTCACCCCCCCCCCCAACCCCCCCAACAGCACGTACATACTTCCTCAAATTTAAAATAGCAGAGTACATAAAATAGCAGAGTACGTACAAAGAAGACAGAGTGTTTTCCCTTGTAGTACCCGCTTGTTAACTGGCCTTCACTTCAGGGCCGTGACTTACAGTTTAATGTCAATTCAGCATCTTACAAGAAGACCAAATGATTTCAATAGCAGTGCTGATCAGCTCCGGAAACAAGTTGTATTTTTATCCCGTGCATGTTTACACAAGCCTGACGATGTACCTCATGTTACAGGAAGCAGCCATGCCTCGTAGCATTGCACAATTACTGTTAAAAACACACACACACACACACACACACACACACACACACACACACACACA